AACGTCGCACAAATGACATCGTCCACGGTGCGACTGACGGTCTTGTATTGTAGGGACTGAATGGAAGCAAAAAAGCCCAAGTCAAGAACGTTGAGATCAGGGCTGTTTGGCGGCTGCCGGCGGACAGCAAAGGTCCAGCCGTCCCGCGAGAAGTGCGCAAGGATCTCGTTCGTGATGGCACCGTGGGGGGTTGCGTTGTCGTGCTGTAGGAGGACGTGCTTGTTCCGACTGGGAAACTTCGCCATGATCGCAGGTAGGACACGGGTGATGACGAAGTCGCGGTACAGAACAGCATCGACATTGACCAACGTAGTCACCAGCGTACCCGCCGGACGGTTGCGTGAGCCACGGACAGCAGGTAAGCGCTTAACAGCAGGCCACATTCCGATCTTCCCGTTGAACATGACACCACGCTCCTCATCATACCTAGGACGTGCGACGGCCGCCAGGAACATTACTTTGGGAATGAAACGCTTGCTCTTGCACGCCCGCCGACTGAGAGTTTCGCCCGGAGTCAGGTAAATCTTCCGTTGATCCTTGTCTGCGTTGAACCACTTCTCATCCAAGTGTACAACGTCCCAAAGGTCACAGCACTCACGTTCGGTTTCAGGGTCATGGCGCGGGATTTCGGGAAGACCGGCTTGTCCGGCGGAATCCGCGAGCGCGAAGTGCGAGCGGCAAAATGCGAGGCGTTCTCGTTTGTTCTCATCCGTGAGCAGCGGCTTTAAGCGAGACGAGCGGCGTTGCAGGATTCCTTGCTTGAGACAGCGGTGGAGCGTTCCAACGGGGATGCCAGTGGCCTCCGACATGTCGCGAAGAGTGGTGCGCTGGCTTTCGGGCAGCTGGCGAACATGGTTTATGACCTCTGAACTGTCGTAGACAGCCTTGCGGCCGACTCGACCGCTCTTGCGTGGAGTCATCGTGTCGCACTTGAACTGGTTCCAGACCTTGGCCACGGTGGTCCTGTGCAGCTTCATTGCTGCCGCCGTTACGTTGATTGCACCATGCGCAAGCTTGCCGAACTTCACGAAATGTTGGAGTCGCCGTACAACATCCATCTTTCGTTCATACGTCAGCTCGCGGCCGACTCGCGCCGTTTCCATGTTAGCGATGCCAACAGGTCCCGTAGTTTTATAAAATGAATTTTGGATTTATAAAAATTTTCGTGAGGCGGTTTGACGAAGTGAATTTTCGGGGGGTAAAACTTCACTTGCGCGCCTTGCAGTCAATAGACACCCCCTCTAATTTTTCATCCTCTTTCGAACATGATATGACTCACCGAATTTGGACAAGTCATTATTTTTGGGGGTCATTCGAAAGTGAAATGTCGCTAGTAAAGTCGAACAGAGGAAGTAGAAAAATAGGAGGAAATTCTCCATCACACTATTTACAGTCAGAATCATGCGCATCCGGATAGTAGTCTCCACGACAGAAGTTGAAGCACATCCCACCGCCAAAGCAGCGGCGACGGCAGAGATGACGGACTTCCCCAAGGAAGTGCCGGTAACGAAAGGAGAGTACCGATTTTTGACTGGCCGTGGCGAGGGGGAGAAGCCTCGTTCGTGCTATGACTTTGCTGTCGTGACCAAGCGGCTAAAAGGACTCGATTCGGAGAAGGTAGCAGTGCAAACGACAATTGTCGATCCACTCGTGGTTCAGGGTAATAAGCACCCCTTGCGTCTATGACTCGAATGCACAAGCGTCTTGGTAGGTTTGTGGGTGGACGTGATTGAAGGCACGGACTCGACGTACTACATCGTCCTCGTCCGCGCGCCAGATGCGCTGGTGCTCCATTTTGCCAAAGATTTGAAACTTCAGATGTGGATGCGGTGTGGAAACGCGCGGGAACTGGACGACATCCTTGTCAACGATCCTTCTGACGTCGATCCAGCCGACCGCATCCAAGCGATTGAGTACATCATCCGCGCCCGCGCCAACATCACGAAGAAGGCCGTGCCGCTCATCCGCCACGTGTTCCCCGTCCAGGACGAAGCAGAAACGTCCGCATTGATGCGCAAGTACATTCGAAGCTGCGGTCGTCTCGACGCCGAGCAGTTCAGTGCGCATGTGAAGACGTATTTTGGGGAGCGTGTCGCGTACTACTTCTGCTTTCTCGACTGCTACAACCAGAGCTTGATTCCGATCGCGATCGTGGGGGTAATCTTCACGCTGTCACGTCCGTATTTAGGTTCGTGCCGGTCCCTCTGAGGTCGTGTTTGACATGAAGTTGCGCAGGCACGGCCATGTACATGCAGCTTTTGGTCGTGTGGGGCTTTTTCGTGTCGGTGATTTGGAGTTTTTGGTTTCTCAAGCGGTGGCGGCGCCACAACAGCGCGCTCAACTTTGCGTGGAAAAACGACCTGCATACCAAGTTCCTGCTGTATCCGAACCCGAACTTTCAAGGCTCGGAGCGGTACAACCCAGTCACAAACAAGATGGAAGTTGTTTACGCGTGGTGGAAGCGCATCCCCGTGTACGTGTTTGTCACGATCTTCATGGTAGTGCAGATCGCGATCATGATGCTGTTCATCGCGGCCTGGATCACGACGTACGAAACATTTCAGATTCGATTCCCCGACACGGGATTCGGCGGGGTCCAGTGGTTTTGTGTCCTCGGGGGCGGGATCGTGTTTGGCCTGTTTGTGGATGTGGTGCAGTGGGAGCTGGTGGTCAAGACAATGGCCCATCTGTGTACACAATGGGAAAATTGGCGCACCACCGAGCAGTTTGAGCGCAGCTTGATTCGGAAGCTGTTCTTCATGGACTTTCTCAACATTTACACGTGGTTCTTCCTCCTCGCGTTCGTGTACGTGGTGCCAGGTGCGTGACAAGGACGCGATCGAATCTGTTCGCTTTTGGAGTTGTGTGGACGTGCTGGTGGTGACTCTGGTCGGCTCAAGTCGTCGATGGCTCACACGGGCGCCCTGTGGTGCATCCGAATAGGGGCGGGAGATACCATCACCAACGCCCTCAACTCGGTTCTGTTTCAAGATGAACCAAACTGCTGCTTTGGCCCGTACTTGGACAAATGGTCCAAACTGTGCACGTCGTGCCCGCCGCCATGGCATCGTCTTCCCCACGGCGGCAGCTTGACACAGTGCAATCCTTGCAAAGGGTATACCTCGATCGCATCTTTGCATTGACCCTTGACGACGTTATGCACAACAGGTACGTCACGTTCGACATGAAGCATTTGAACTTGGAGTCGCTGTTCGTGACGCCGGTCGTGGTGGCGCAACTGCTGAACCTGCTCATTCAGCTGCTCGTCCCATGGGCCCTTCGCCGACGCCACGTCGCGCTGCGCAAGCGAACCGACCAACAAGCGCTCGCGATGCTCACCACACAAGACGCCCGCAAGCGCGATGCCGCAATCCTTGGCACTCTCGAGTATGGCGAGTCGACGGCAGCCGACATCGTGGAGCCCACCACTGTTTCTACCGGGGTCCAGAAAACAACCCGGCTTGCGAGCGATTCAAAAGCCAAAGGACTCCAAGTCAACGTTCAAGCATGGGATGCGCTGCATCGTGTCGCGCGGGAAGTGCTGTTCCAGGGCAAGCAAGATCAGTACGATCCGTACGATGACTACCACACGGCGATGGTTCAGTACGGCTTTGTCGTCATGTTTTCGATGCTGTGGCCGCTCATGCCGCTGTGCTGTTTTTGTATCAACGCGCTCAAGTACCGCGCCGACGGGTACCGCCTGTGCACCAAGATGCAGCGCCCATTGCCCCAGAAAGCCGGCGGGATTGGCGAATGGTACACGATGTTTGTGATTCTCGCGTGCATGGGTGTGATTGTGTACACGGGGCTCGTATTTGTGTCGACGGGCGCGGTCGAGTTTTTCGTGCCGCGATGCGTCGCCAAGATCAAGCTCGACTCGTTTCGGTTTGGTCCGTCGTTCGAGTGCTTTGACATGAGCACACGCCTCGTCATGATCCTCGTGTCGGAAAATGTGCTGTTTGTTGGCGCATGGCTCTTTTGGAACTCGTGGCGCAGTTTGCCCAAGTCGCTGGAAGATCGACTGGGCGCCGCCGAGGCGTCGTTCAAGTGGGCGCTGTATACCGACCGCGAAAAGACCGGCGCAACTCCAGCGAAACACCACACGACCCCGAGATCCACCAAGCCCCTTCGCGGACCGACCGAAGCATCCCCACTGATTGAAAAGACACACAAGGACCTCGCGAGGAAGTGGGACCCGTAGCTCATCGCGGGGTAGTTCATGCCATGTAGGATATTTGATTCCCCACACTTTGCAAAGATATACACCACCGTCCACTGCGATGAGAAAACGTGCTTGCCATGTCTTGCAGAGTGGAGCAGGTCGGCCATCGTTTTTTTACTGGAAACCATATTCCAAAGCAGAGTCCAGATTGATTCATCCACATGAACACTTCGCCCTCGCAGTTGGCGGTGGAGCATTGCGCCGTGAGCGGCAGTGCCAGCAACACGTGCAAATGGAAAAGCAAACCAGCACAATGCATCCCGCGATCCCAATTAGCATCGGCGCCAAGCCTTCGTTGAAAAAGCACGACTCGCCGCACAGTCGCTCGTACCGGCACTGACACTTCGACGGGATGTAGTTGCCACTGAATTGATCGGCACACCGCACGTTGTACTTGGGGTCGTTGTGTGGACAGCAGCACGTCACGTCCCTGGCACACACAATCGTCAAGTGGCACTTGACGTAGCAATCGGGTCGCGCACGCACCCGCTACGGCACACAAAACCTTCGTTCATGTCAACCGACCCGCCCAAGTCGAACACGTTGGGGCATGTGGAGTAGTTGGCACAGGCGGCGCATGCATCGGTGTTGAACGGCGGGGGATCGTGGTTGGCGTACGCGGGCGGGAGCGTGCCGACGTAGACAAAGCACACAATCACTCCAACCGTCAGCGCGACGAGGATGGCCTTGTTCCAAAGGGGGATAGCCATGGCTGCGGAAGATTTTATGGACGTTGCCGTCCCGTGAAAAGGTGGCTAAGTATAGCTCGTACTAGTTCGTGGCCGGTGACTGCCAACTGCCACAGTCATGGTGGCCAGACCAGAGTCAAGGGCACATGTCATCGCCACCTTGTCTCGCCTAAGAAGACAAAGGAAGAACGGGTCTGCGTCATGTTAGGTCTGTCGCTCGCGGGAGTCCCTCGAGCCCACCACGAACAAGTAAACGACTGCTTGTTGAAGCCATCTCGATCCGACCGCGGCTAGGATACAACTCATCTCCGTCCACCGAAAAATCTTTCGAGTGTAATCGTTCTTCGTGCGTCAACGTCGACATGGTCGACCCACGCCGCGTAAAGCAGCAGAGTTTTTGGTTTTGCCCCACCACCATTTGCAACGATTTCATTGCTTCACGGAGCGACAAATTTGGATTCACCGCCGATGATGCCCACAGCATTCCGCATCGGCCGATGCTACCGAAACATGAAAGGCGCTTGGCGCTCGTACTTCTACTCAAACGAGCATGCACGGTCATGCAGAATCACGCCGACTGTATTGTGCAAGTTGCAAACTTGATGTAGGGGGGAATTATCGCCTCTGCGGAGCGTGGAACTCGTTGCAAACCAACCGATCTTACTTTCGACCAGCTAGCTTAGCGACTGCCGACCGCATGGACGTCGATTCCGTGTGTCGATATCGAGGATGGTGCGTCGGCACTCCCTTGTTGGGGCGGACGTGCTGCCCACGCGAATCCGAACGTTGTCAAGACTCTCGACATGACCGTACCGCCAGACTGGATACCGAGTCACAGTATTCGCGAGTGCCGCGCCATTCAGGAGATAGAGTCATGCGATGTGCACTCGGCCCTCCACTGAAATTATTTGGCACCCTCTTCGTCGTGCCTGCTGCCGCCACCAAACAATCCGTGAGCAAACTCTCGGCTGATGAACGCTCCGTGCTGCCCGCACTGTTGAGCGAGTGGCCCAGGGTTTGGACCCTGCAGCCGCGGTGCAAGGTTTGTTGTCCCGCGTCACCAAAAGGCCGGCAGAGACGGAAAACGGCGCGCTCCAGCGGTAACTACATACGCTAACAAGCTCGCGATCGAAGGGGTCCGTCGCAACAACCCCGACACCACGTTCGCTCGTTTGCTCTCATGGCGCCAACTGAATTCAAAAAGATCCTGGAGGATGTGCTCATCGAAGAAAGCCGAAGTGCCTTCCGCTCGGTCCCCGAGGCCAACTAAATCGTGATGGAGCGTCATGGCCTGGACCACTGGCAAGTGCGTCAATCTCGTGCGCACAGCGTGGGCCTTCTCGGCCGTGAGTGCCGCTGTATCGTGACTGGAGAGCCCCTCGTCCTGCCGTCAACACGCAGTCTCCGTCGATGCTGGTCGAAACGGGCAGTTCGGTTGTGATCACGCAATGCCCCGGGTCGTGCTCGGACCACTCCGTCGTCGCTGTGGGCTACAGTGTGACATGGTAGTACTACCGTATTTGTCGTACTCCTGCACCATGAAAAATGTCGGATTTAAGATCAGGTTTTTGGTGCAAGACAACGACAAAACCAATTCTGGGATGTCATGGGTGGCACTCTTGGATTGGATAGAAATACAACTAAAGTTTGAAATCCAAACTTCCCGCTCAGTCATTGTTTGGTCACGTCGTGCGAGCTTGTGGATGTCTCGCACTAGCCGCAAAAGACGGCACCTCACCGTCACGAAAAAACTCGACGTGGTGAAACAGCACCTTCGCGACGGCACCAGCGTCTACATGCTCGCTAAAAAGTACGGCGTGCAAGGCAACCAAGTACTCCGCTGGGTCCGCGACCACGAGAAGCTGAAGGCTGCCGTGGCGCGGTCGCCCGATCTCTGTTCCACGCATACTGGCCGTGCAGTTGCCCGCTCTGACGTGGAAGCACAAGTTCTTGAATATATTGAGTATCTACGTGAACACGACGTTGCCATCAGTACGATGATGCTAGTGCTCAAGGCTACAAACATTGACCCTGATTTTCATGGCGGCAAAATCAAGGCACTCACATCTTGGGTGTACCA